GGCCCCCGTAACCGCCTGGTCACGCTGCTTGCTGCTGGGCCCACAGTGTGACCTGGGGTCCCTGTAGCCCCACGCCTCCCATTGCTCCCACTTCTGCCATGTGCCACTTTCAGGTCTCCTCAAACTCCTGCTGGTTTCCATTTTTGTCATAGGTTTGCTGTATGGCCTCCCATTGCTGCTGCCTCCACCGCCCACACTGTGGCTCCAAACACTGGTTTTTGGCCCCGTGACTGGCCAAATGAGTGAAGTGTGCGGTGATTCTTAGATCGACGGCACTCATCTGCATGTCATACTGAGTGACAGTATTATTTCTCTTACCCCAGCAGACTCCAAGGGCATTGAAATTAAAGGTACAGTGTTCTGCACTAATATTAAGTCTCTCTGAAGCCTAGAAAACACCCTTTTTTTAAGTTAAATTCACAGCGAATTTATTCGACTCGAATCGAATATTGTCCACGAATTCGCCCGAATCAGTCGAATCGAATTTTTCATTTCTTCGCTCATCTCTAATTGTATCCAATGACACCAATGTTGATGGCTATTTATTACAACCACTGACACCAATGACGGGTTAATCCTGGCACTCACTGACACCGATGTTGAGGGAATATTATTGCCTCCACTGATTATCAATGTTGGAGTTCATTTTTGCACTCACTGACACTAATGTTGATGGCTATTCTTGCATCCACTGACACCAATGCTGGAGGTTATTGTACTCCATAATCCAATGCAATACAGTTCACAAAATGCAGCAGGACCGAAATTGTTTTGGGTGTTGAGGTGAATTAGAACCCATTTATTTTGAATTGGCTGCCTAACTTGACACAATGCATCTCAATGGACAAAAAAATGCACTGCTATTGTGTGGCTCACTGGAAGTCTTGGAGGCCACACTAGTCTTGGGGGGCCACACTAGTCTTGGGGCCACACCAGTAATTTTCAGGTTTCATCCACGACTCTGGATTATTCCCTTTTATTTCCTCCCTACAGATACATAAAAGGTTATACAGGAAGCAACTGTTGCTTCCTGTCCAGTATTTTGCCCATCTAGCTGGTAAAAACTGGACTTATGGCCAATGTTATCAATAGAAAGGGGACCAGAGAGTCTGTATTTTTTTACCAGAAAGGTTGAAAACCCTATGTAGGGATTTGGGGGGAGGGGGCAGAGTAGCTGGGCCAGCATAAAAAGTAATTAGCCATGCCCAGAAAAGAAGAGGGCTATGACAATGGAGGGAGGGAGGGAGAACTGTAATATACTGCAGCTTACTAATCATTAGATGTGGTAGGTAGGTGCATTGCTTTTCTTTCCTGTTATTTTTACCTGTTGATCCATAAAAATGTGCAGAACAAAAAAAAATTTGTTTTGCTTTAATTTTTTATTTAGATAATTTTTGTTTAGCTAAATTCCTTAAATTCATTTAATTTGTTTTCGGAATTCGCTTTGTTAATTTGCATTCAAATTCGACCAAATCAAAAAATATCGAATCTGCATTCGAATTCAAATTTATTCTATTCGAAATTCACATTTCGGAAGATGGTTATGTTCTTTCTAATCTATTCTATTCATTCTATTTTTTTTTTCTATTCTATTGTTTTTTTCTATTCTAATCAATTAAATTATTTTCTATTCTATTCTTTTATTTTCCTTTATATTCTATTTTATTGTATTCTTTTCTATTCTTTTCAGTTTTACGCAATTCTTTCCTTTCTATTCTATTCTATTTAGTTTTATTTTAATTTATTTTATTTTTTCCAAAATTTGAATATTGAAAGGCGACTATATTCTATTTTATTCTTCTCTATTCTTTTGTACTTTTTTCTATTCTTTTCTATTCTATTCCTCTATATTCTATTCTATTCTATTCTGCTCTGTTCTACTGTATTCTTTTCTATTTCATTTCTTTATTTTCTATTCTATTCCTTTATGTTCTGTTCTTTTCTATTTTATTCTGTTCTTTTATTTTCTATTCTATTGTTTTATTCTATTTTATTCTTTAAAAAATTTGAATTTCGAAAGGCATCTATATTCTTTCTATTCTATTCTTTTTTTCTGTTCTAATACATCCTATTATTTTCTATTCTATTCTGTTCTTTTTATTTTTATTCTATTCCATTCTATTTTATTCTGTTTCTTTAAAAATTAAAATTTCTGAAAACACCTATATTCTAACACTAAAACACAGAGTCTTTGATTTGTTTTCAACTTGAAAAGTCAGTGCCCATCAGTGCCATCTATTAGTGCCCATCATTGTTGCATATCAGTGCAGCATCATCAGTGCCGTCTATCAGTGCTGCCTATCAGTGCCCATCAGTGCTGCTATCCGTGCCACCTCTTCAGTGCCGCCTATCAGTGACCCCATCAGTGTCGCCTATAAGTGCCCATCAGTGCTGCCTATCTGTGCCACCTCTTCAGAGCCGCCTATCAGTACTCATCAGTGTTGCCTATAAGTGCCCATCAGTGCTGCCTATCAGTGCCCATCAGTGCAGCCTCATCAACGTACATCAGTGAAGGAGAAAAAATTACCTGTTTGCAAAATTTTATAATAGAAACAAAGAAAAACTTTTTTTTTCTAAATGTTTGCTCTTTTTTTGTTTATAACGCAAACAATAAAAACACTCAGTGGCGAGTAAATACCACCAAAATAAAGCTCTACTTGTGTGAAAAAAAAAATGTCATATGGGTACAGTGTTGCATGACCGCACAATTGTCATTCAAAGTATGACAGCGCTGAAAGCTGAAAATTGGCCTGGGCAGGAAGGGGGTATAAGTGCCCTGTAGGCGAGGGGTTAATCAGCATTAGGACTAGTGGGTTTCTAGAGGAGTCTTTAGCTGTAAAAACGCTCCTAACACTGAAATACGCAGTAAAATGCGCCAAACAGGCGTTTTAGGCTTTTTTCAGCAAAAAATTATTTGTGTTAAAAAAAACGTGTTTTTTAAAAATGTGAACGCAGAAAAAACGCAGCTAAACGCTAATTCAAAAATGCTAAAAACATTGAAAAGCATTTTTAACCTGACTTTACACAGCTAACGCTACCAGCATTATTATATTTTTTTCAATTGTTTATTTCAGGTACTTATATAGCGCCATCAATTTACACAGCACTTTACATATATATTGTACATTCACATCAGTCCCTAACCCTCAAGGGGCGTACAATCTAAGGTCCCTAACTTACATTATTAAATATATTAAATATATACATATATATATACATATATTAAAATGCCCAGTGTGCATGGAGCCTAGTGAGAGGAATGAAATTGGAGACACAGCAGACAGCAGCATTGTCAGTCTGGAAGGAGGGGAGGGTTTAGATGTACTAGCAGATTTAAATACACTAACAAATGGAAGGAAAACTCCAGCTCACACTTTATAGTCAGTTACAGAAAACAGTTTATTTTTTCTTTTGGGATAAACGTTAATAAAGCTGATCATTTTAATCGCTCCTGCCAGTGTTAGTGTTTTGTGTTTTATTTATGTAAACTGATACATTCTGCTGGAGAGCTCGTACTTTTGAAAGAACAACAAATTTACTAGCTGAAGCCCCAGATGTAAATTGAAGAAAGTCTAAAAAAAGAAAATGAATGCAGCCATCACATCTAAGAACTGGTAAGCTGAAATATAATAAATGTTTAATTTTTGGGTTTAATACCGCTTTAAATAGGTTTTTTATCAGTGGATATATTCAGGCTCATCCAGGATATTTAACCACCTTCCCGCCCGCCCTACAGTACAATGAGGGGGCGCAAGGTGGTTCTCTCGTTCTGATAGGACATCATATGATGTCCTACCATTCTCACTGCACATGCGCGGCTCAGGACACAGTGGATCACGGAAAGAGCCAAGATGTCGGCTCAGTCATGTGATCAGCTGTGTCCAATCACAGCTGATCACTTGTAAAACACGGAAATGCCAGTTATCAGCATTTCTCTCCTCTCGAGCTGTCACGCTGACAGCTCGAGAGGAGAGGAGAGCCAGTAATCGGCTTTCCACGGAGGGGACATGTACACTGATCATCAGGACACTGATGATCAGTGTGCCCTGATGATCAGTGTGGCCCCAGAAGTGCCACCTGTCAGTGCCCATCAGTGCCACATCAATGCCACATATCAGTGCACGTCTGAGCTGCCTTTCAATGTCACCATCAGTGCCAGTCAGTGCCACCTATCAATGTCAATCAGTGCCACCTATCACTGCTGCCAATCAGTGCCACCTATCAGTGCCAGTCAGTGTCACCTATCAGTACCAGTCAGTGCCGCTTAACAGTGCCAGTCAGTGCCGCCTATCAGTGCTCGCCTATCAGTGCCAGTCGGTGCTGCCTATCAGTGCCATATATCAGTGTCATGTATCAGTGTCATATATCAGTGCTGCCTTTCAGTGCCCATCAGTGATGCCTGTCAATGCCCATCAGTGCAACCTACCAGTGCCTCCTCATCAGTGCCCATCAGTGCCACCTATCAGTGTCCATCAGTGCAGCCTATCAGTGCCCATCAGTGCAGCCTCATTAGCGCACATCAGTGAAGGAGAAAAATCACTTATTTGAAAAATTGTATAACAAAAACTAAGAAAAAATGTTTTTTCTTCAAAAATTTTCAGTGGTTTTTGGTTTGTTTAAGAAAAAATAAAAATCCCAGAGGTGATTAAATACCACCAAAAGAAAGCTCTATCTGTCTCAAAAAAATGATAAAAATGTCATATGGGTACAGTGTTGCATGACCTTGCAATTGTCATTCAAAGTGTGACAGCGCTGAAAGCTGGAAATTGGCCTGGGCAGGAAGGGGGTATAAGTGACCTGTAGGCGAGGGGTTAAAGTACAAGGGAGGCAGATTGAAAACATATGATGTGACTCATGATGTAGACTACATAGGGAGTTAAAGGTCCATTGTTTGTGCCTCTCATGGTCTGCTGACATGGGAAAGTCTTGCTGTCTGACATAACTTGTGTGATGATAGATGCCGCTACACTGATATCTATGGATCACTGAGAGCAATAGGGGCCAGTGTATACAATTCAAATGTCAAATGCAGCAACAAAATGGAATTAACCAGCCATCATTTTCTAACTTGATTTAAAAAGATATTTTTTTTCTCATTTTATTTCATGCTCCTTTATCAGCATCCCATTAGAAAATGTCATTTCACCAAAATTTTTTCTTTAACCACTTTCAAGTCTGCACGCTTTCACCCCCTTCATTGCCCAGGTCAAATTTCAGCTTTCAGTGCTATCACACTTTGAATGACAATTGCGCGGTCATGCAACACTGTACCCATATAAGCTCTTTAGCATTTTTTTGAGACAGATAAAACATTATTTTGGTGGTATTTATTCACCACGGGGATTTTTATTTTTTTGCTATATAAATGAGAAAGTCCAAACATTTTAAAAAAAGGGTTTTTCTGATAACATTTTGCAAATAAATAATCTTTCTTCATAAATCTTGGCCAAAATGTATTCCGTTATCTTTTTAGTAAAAAAATAAATAACTCAAATTAGTTTATAACCCAAAAATTTCTTTTTTAACATACTGTCACCCTACCAGTACAGTGTCACCATAATGACACTGTACTACTTGTGGGGGATGATGAAGATTTTTTTACGCTGATTGCTTTTACACCCATAAAGGCTGTAAAAGCAATCATCTCTCCTTCTCTCTGGCTGCATTCTTGCAGCCATTGAGAAATACTGTCAGAGCTGTGATTGGTCACAGCTTGTCACATGGTACAAGGCTGTTGTGAATAGCCTTGTACCATGTGACCTCTGTGATCATTCACAGATTTCACTAGTAGTAAGTAATGATGTCAGGAAGTGGCACATAATTGTGAAGTGGAAGGAAAATGATAAATGGTTTTCAACATTTTTTACAAATACAGTAAATATCTGAAAAGTGTCGGGCAAGGAGAGCATTAATCAGAGAAGCAAGCCAAGAGGCCCATGGGAACTCTCGAGGAGCTGCAGAGATCCACAGCTCAGGTAGGAGAATCTGTCCACAGGACAACTATCAGTTGTGCACTCCACAAATCTGGCCTTTTTTTGGGAGAGTGGCAATAAGAAAGCCATTGTTGAACAAAAGCCATATGAAGTCCTGTTTGCAGTTTGCGAGAAGCCATGTGGGGGACACAACAAACATGTGGAAGAAGGGGCTCTGGTCAGATGAGACCAAAATTGAACTTTTTGGCCTAAAAACAAAAAGCTATATGTGGCGGAAAACTAACACTGCACATCACCCTGAACACACCATCCACACCGTGAAACATGGTGGTGGCGGCATCATGTTGTGGGGATGCTTTTCTTCAGCAGGGACAGGGAAGCTGGTCAGAGTTGATGGGGTGAGGGATGGAGCCAAATACAGGGCAATCTTAGAAGAAAACCTGTAAGAGTCTGTAAAAGACTTGAGACTGGGGTGGATGTTCATCTTCCAGCAGGACAACGACCCGAAACATCCAGCCAGAACTACAATGGAATGGTTTAGATCAAAGCATATTCATGTGTTAGAATGGCCCAGTCACAGTCCAGACCAAAATCCAATGGAGAATCTGTGACAAGACTGGAAAATTGCTTTTCCCAGACGTTCTCCATCCAATCTGACAGAGCTTGAGCGATTCTGCAAAGAAGATTGGGAAAAGATGTCCCTCTCTAGATGTGCAAAGCTGGTAGAGACATCCCCAAAAAGACTTGCAGCTGGAATTGCAGCTAAAGGGGGGGTTCTACAAAGTATTGACTCCAGGGGGCTGAATACAAATGTAGCCACACTTCTCACAGATTTATTTTGTAACCATTTATCATTATTTGAAAACCATTTCTCATTTTCCTTCTACTTCACAATTATGTGCCACTTTGTGTTGGTCTATCACATCAAATCCAATAAAAGACATTTACGTTTTTGGTTGTAACATGACACAATGTGGAAAATTTCAAGGGGTATGAAGACTTTTTCAAGGCACTGTATATACGCTATATTGCCAAAAGTATTGGGACGCCTACCTTTACACGCACATTAACTTTAATGGCATCCCAGTCTTAGTCCGTAGGGTTCAATATTGAGTTGGCCCCGCCCTTTGCAGTATAACAGCTTCAACTCTTCTGGGAAGGCCGTCCACAAGGTTTAGGAGGGTGTCTATGGGAAGGTTTGACCATTCTTCTAGAAGCGCATTTGTGAGGTCAGGCACTGATGTCGGCTGAGAAGGCCTGGCTCGCAGTCTCCGCACTAATTCATCCCAAAGGTGTTCCATGGGGTTGAGGTCAGGACTCTGTGCAGGCCAGTCAAGTTCCTCCACCCCAAACTGGCTCATCCATGTCTTTATGGACCTTGCTTTGTGCATTGATGCACAGTCATGTTGGAACAGGAAGGGGCCATCCCTAAACTCTTCCTACAAAGTTGGGAGCATGAAATTGTCCAAAATGTCTTGGTATGCTGACGCCTCAAGAGTTCCCTTCACTGGAACTAAGAAGCCAAGCCCGACCCCTGAAAAACAACCCCGCACCATAATCCCCCCTCCACCAAACTTTACACTTGGCACAATGTAGTGCATTGCTTATCCGGCTCTTAATCAGATGAAATTTCACCCGCGTTCATTGCCATAAGAACTAGGGAATGGAATGCCGCTTCTCCATGTTTCGGCTTACTGCTGATCGGCACACTGCTGAAATTCACTGGGTGCCTTTCAGGGCACTGGAATATGTGAGTGATATTATATTTATTTTTGCCTGTGAAATTGTTATATATTAAAATGGTTTTGCAGTGATCTAGTTTATGACCTTTTATCCCTGAGCTAAGGAGTGCACACAAGGGGACATATAGGAAAGTGGAGATACAGATCCTGGAATCATTACATGAGCCTATGTAGACCTGTTTGGATCTAAATGTCTGCTGAGTCTCCGTATATAAAGGAAGGAGTGGAACCACTGAAGAGCACCATTTGAAGAGCACTGTTCTGAATGAAAAGTGTGGAACACATCTAAGAGTGTTGCATAGATCACTATTGGCACTGTTGTTGGTCTCAATAATTTTTGGACATTTTATGGACACTTATTGCTTATCGTTTTTTGATAAGTATATTATTTATCATTTTTTATTTGGACAAATATGATTGTTCATAATTGTTTTAAAGTACACAGTTACTGGAGGCATACACTGGTACCTAGTACCCAAGTATTTTTACACAGGGGATTTTGGAATTGCATCATGAGTGTTTGGAGTAAAATCGTTGGTGCAGTGAATTAAATATATAGTTGTATGAATTCTCTTGTCTAGGCCCAGATCTAAAGGGGTTCTGGGGTAGGCTATGCCCTCCCCCCCAAGATTTTAGCTGTGCCACCCCCCCCCCATCTCTGAGAGTGCATCCACTAATCCATGAGACTTGTTGGGGACAATTGATGTAAGGGGGCACTCTGATGGGGATAGTTGATGTAAAGGGGCACTTTGGTGGGCATAGTTGAAGTAAGGGGGCACTCCGATGAGGCAGGTGATATAAGGGTGGACTCTTATAGGAACCCTGATGTAAAGAGGGGGACTTTGATGGGGATAGTTGATGTAAGGGGGCACTCCGATGAGGCAGGTGATGTAAGGGTGGACTCTTATAGGAACCTTGATGTAAAGAGGGGGACTCTGATGGGGATAGTTGATGTAAGGGGGCACTCTGATGAGGCAGGTGATGTAAAGGCAGACTCTTATAGGAACCCTGATGTAAGGAAGGGACTCTGATGGGGATAGCTGATGTAAGGGGCACTCTGATGGAGACAGTTGATGTAAGGGGGGACTCTTATAGGAACCCTGATATAAGGATGGGACTCTGATGGGGATAGTTGATGTAAGGGGCACTCTTATAGGAACCTTGATGTAAAGGGGGGACTCTGATGGGGATAGTTGATGTAAGGGGGCACTCTGATGAGGCAGGTGATGTAAAGGGGGACTCTTATAGGAACCCTGATGTAAGAAAAGGGACTCTGATGGGGATAGCTGATGTAAGGGGCACTCTGATGGAGACAGTTGATGTAAGGGGGGACTCTTATAGGAACCCTGATATAAGTTGATGGGACTCTGATGGAGACAGTTGATGTAAGGGGGGACTCTTATAGGAACCCTGATGTAAAGAGGGGGACTCTGATGGGGATAGTTGATGTAAGGGGGCACTCTGATGAGGCAGGTGATGTAAGGGGGGTCTCTTATAGGAACCCTGATGTAAGGATGGGACTCTGATGGGGATAGTTGATGTA